GTTGGTATTATTCTTATGTTAGGTATTTTAATGTACTTTTGGCGTTTTTGTGTATTTTGGTTTTTTTATGTACATTGGCATTTTGAAGTATGTTGGCATTGTTAAGTATGTTGGAATTGTTATGTATGTTGGCATTGTTATGTATATTGGGATTGTGAAGTATGTTGGCATTGTTACGTGTGTTGGCTTTGATATGTATGTTGGTATTCACTTTATGTATGGTCAGATTAAACACAGAGAAAACCTCATTTAAGCTACTGACGTTAGCAATGCAATTAAATGTATAACTCCATTTTTAGGCGACAAAGTCTATCTCTTTATGTTGAATATAACAAGACGGAGTTGAGAGCAGGGTCTCTCAAACTTTTGTAACATTGTACCACTTTAAATTAACTGTTGCAATTAATATGGCCCCGACCTGTGGGCACATGCCCCCATTTATACTCGAAATCTGTATTCGCTTTAGTATTTTTTACATCCCTGTGTACCATACGGTACAGCCTAATTACCTTCCTAATTAGCCTCATAAGTTGGCTGCATGTACCACAGTTTGAGATTGGCTTGTTTAGAGAGAGAGAGAGAGAGAGAGAGAGAGAGAGAGAGAGAGAGAGAGAGAGAGAGAGAGAGAGAGAGAGAGAGAGAGAGAGAGAGAGAGAGAGAGTGAGTTAGTCCATGACTGTAAAATCGCTCTATGTAAAAAGGATGAAATTATTGTTTTTAAGGCTTTATTGTGAGCGCCATTGATTTTTTGTTTTCTTCATGCTTCTCTTTCATTCGAGAATGTTCTCAACCTTATAGTAAACTAAAGATAAGCCGTTGTCACTTAGCGTTAGATGGATGCATTTAGATGGAGGCAGTTAGTTGGATGGATGCAGTTTGATGGATGCAGTTGGATGGATGCAGTTGGATGGATGCAGTTGGATGGATGCAGTTGGATGGATGGAGTTGGATGGATGCAGTTGGATCGATGGAGTTGGATGGATGCAGTTGGATGGATGCAGTTGGATGGATGGAGTTGGATGGATGCAGTTGGATGGATGCAGTTGGATGGTTGAAATTAGATGGATGCAGTTCGATGGATGCAGTTGGATGGATGCAGTTTAGATCAGGGGTCTTAAACTCGCGGCCCGCAGGCCATTTGCGCCCCGCATGACGATATTTTGCGGCCCGCTGCATGACAGCAACGTTCAGTGGTAATGCGGCCCACGCGTTCTCCCCGTTCTCATATTAATGATGTGAACCTCTGCAACGATTTCAATCGAATCTCACCAACTCATCTAATTCTGATTTGTATAATGTTTGTTAGATGTGGACGTTGGTTATAATTGTAAAACCGTTTTAAAATCGGACTAAAAGTTTTTACTTTATTGCATTTTATGAGACAAGCATGGCGGCCAAAGTGCGGTTTTAAGAAACGTTTAAAAAGTCAGTTGATGGAAAACGCACAACCACATTTGTGTAAATCGTAGCAATATGACACAGTATCAAAGAATCCCTATTAAAATTGCCACTAGTGTTACAGAGTGAGGGAGATTCCGAGCTTGTCAGCTTGGTCAAGTTTAAAATAGGGTTAATCAAAAATGCCTTTTTACAATAAAAAAAAGTCGAAAGTCATTCTCCCAACAATATCATCTTCCTTCGCATCAATAATTCATTAATATTGCCCGCTCCTGCCTACTGTTTGTACACGTTTTAGCCTTCAAAGCCTTCACGGAGAAGGATGGGGTCGTTGTTCCTGTACTAAGTGATCCCATAATGGCTCATGGACGTGGCTTTTCTTGTTGATATTACACAGGAGCTGAATATACTCAACAAGAAGTTGCAAGACCAGGGGTAGTTTTCCAGTGTTGCCTATGACAATGTGAGGGCATTCTGCACAAAACTTGTGTTATGGTTCTCAGAGACATATCTGCCATTTCCCAACATGCAAAGTACTCATGGACTCTGGCACACCCTTCAGTAAGAAGTATACTAATGCCATTGCAAAGCTGCAGAAATAATTATATCACATGTTTTTAGACTTCAAAATACACAGAGCCACTCTTCAACTTTTGGCTGACACTGTCTCTTTTAATGTGGAAGATGCCACCACCCTCCTTTTGAGCTTCCAATGGAGCTGATTGATCTTCAGTGTCATTCCAAGTTCAGGAAAGTGAATGGAAAAACAGACAAGCATGGACAATTTATGAGAGTATTGTCCTCCATATTCACAGAGATTTCCAGGTTCACGTGCCTTTTTGGGGGGCAGTGCCTATCCGTGTGAAAAGCTCTTTTCCACTATGAACTTCAACAAGGTTCAAGACCAAACTTACTCATGAGCATCTTCAAGTTATACTGAGGGTCTCAGTTGCTTCCTCACCCAAACCAAATGTTGCTCAGCTGTGTAAGAAGAAGCGCTGCCAGGTCTCTGGCAACAGTGAGTAGAAAGGAAGGAAGTGAAGCCAAGTTCTTGAGAACCCTTAATGTTTTTATTTGTTGTTAATAAATGTATAGTACATTGTAACAGTTGTACTTTATTGAATTTGCAATCGTTTTTTTTTTGTTGAATGCTTGATGCGGCCCAGTCTCACTGAGACTCTACCTCATGCGACCCCTGGATAATTTGAGTTTGAGACCCTTGAGTTAGATGGATGCAGTTAGATGGATGCAGTTTAGATGGATGCAGTTTAGATGGATGCAGTTTAGATGGATGCAGTTTAGATGGATGCAGTTTAGATGGATGCAGTTAGCCTAAACTAAAAAGTCGCTTTATTATTTTTTTTTTACCAGACGTAGTAAGATTTAAAGTACTTTTTTTTTAAGTCCCCCCCCCCCCCNATAGTTATTTTTACATCACATTTAGTGATTTGATTCATTCGAAATGTTCGTCTCCTGGTTACATGTGTGGACAATTTACATGTGATCGGTTATACTGTTTATAAAATTCGGTTAAACCGGGCAGTGAGGGCTCAGTAAATATGCAATTTTTTTTTTCCAATTAGGGGGCACCCCCTTGGATGAGGCCACCCCCTGACATGATGTAGCCCCCCCCCCCTCCTGAGATGGTGTCACCCGTTGCGGTCCGCAAACGCATAGCTACGCCACTGTAAAAAGCGACCTACGCCTTGCATAGTATAATATAAGTATACATGTAATCATTGTTTGAACACCTCATGAAGATCAAGCATGGCAAGCCCTGTATTTACATTGCGGTTATTTTCATTCTGTTTTATTAACGCACATTTTAAATAAACGAAGAGCTAGTTTCTAGCTTGCTGTTAAAACGGCGTTATGTCTCAATTGATTTCTATGAGATTCATTTTTGTGTGTGCGTAAGCGGCTCACGAAGTCGTGATTTCATCGTCTGACAATTATATCATTAAGAATAAATACATAATAAATGTGAATCGTCCAAGTTGTTGTTTATTTTATTTATCAGGTGTAATGACATGTAGACAGGAAAGAGATATGTGATGCATGCCAATAAAGTGGGTCTTCAAGCCATTTTTGGGTTGGCCATTGCTACCACTGATTAAGATACTGACACGATCCGAAGCAAGGTAAAATCTCTCTCTCTATATATATATATATATATAATTCGCCAGAAGTAGGGCAAACAACGCAGGCTATATATAGATACGCCAGAGCAAGCAAGACGCAGGCAAACCCTCCCTTCCCTTGCCACCCTCGCTTGCCAGCCAGCTCGCGGGGTCTTCTAAACCGCGGGTCGGCGTGAAATAAAAAGTGTGCAGTGGCTTATCATGAAAAAAAAAAGGGGGGGGGGGGGTGGGGAAGGGGGGTTGAAAAATTGGCATTCTTAAATGTGCATAACTGGGGGTCCCGTTTTTGAAAAGTAACTT